GGTTTGTTTTTTTTTTTTTCTCTCAGTATTGCTGTAAGTGTCATCAGAATTAATCATAAATATCCAGTCCTCTCTCTTTTTCGCATAAGGCCCTTAGACTGGATTCTGCTTGAAGCGGTTATTGTTGCTTACCCCACCACAATGCTGATTTGTATGTGACGTGCTAAACAGATGCAGTTCAGTGGGTAGTTGTTCTTATGATGGAAACCTGTCAGTGTTTGTGCAATGGTTGCACAGTCTGTAAGTTCGCTAAGTAATATGCTATACTTTCTCCTCTTACAGGAACTATCTGTTGTCCTGTTCTGAGGATGGTACCGTCAGATTGTGGAGTCTCCAAACATTCACGTGTTTGGTGGGATACAAAGGACACAACTATCCAGTCTGGGATACACAGTTCTCTCCTTACGGTTATTACTTTGTGTCAGGTGGACACGACAGAGTGGCTCGGTAAGAAACTGGATGGATTTTTACTTGTTTGGGTCAGTTTGTGGCGGATTAACCCTGAAAGTGATTAGCTGATGTACTCTAACCTGCTCTTACTGGAGATCAATTTGATTTCATGTCAATTAAAATACTGAACAAATGTTTTAATGTCGTGGGTTTGGTTTTGTTTTTTCTTTTCCACACAGAACAGATTATCTGATGACTAAACAGATTGTGTCCTTTTACATGACTGTCTGATCAGAAGTATTCTCTTGCAGTTGTTTAACAACTTGATATTTTTTATTTCTTCCTTCTGAGAAGTATACTTTTGCAAAACGGACCTTGCTAATTCAATGAACTAACCAGTAAGAAACTGCTGCATAATTACTTCCTTTCATTCCTCATTGTGCAATAGATACTGAACTTCGTTAAGGTTCTTCTTATTAATAAAGTGTTTGTGTTTTTTTTTCCCTCTCCTTTTCCAGACTGTGGGCAACAGACCACTACCAGCCTTTACGGATATTTGCTGGCCATCTTGCTGATGTGACGTGTACTCGGTTTCATCCGAACTCCAACTATATTGCCACCGGCTCGGCAGACAGGACTATAAGGCTCTGGGATGTTTTGAATGGGAATTGTGTGAGAATATTCACTGGACATAAGGTAAGGGCATATCACACTACAAAGTTATTTTATTTCTGTAATGAGATTCTGAAGAATAGTGTTCAGAACAAATATGGCTTGACTGACTCTGTGGATAGAGTTAATTAACTTTTTTGGTGTGTTGTGTGTGCCTCCTCCCTCTCCCCCCCACCCCCATGTGTTTTAGGGACCAATTCATTCATTGGCCTTTTCTCCTAATGGACGATTCCTGGCTACTGGAGCTACAGATGGAAGAGTTCTGCTGTGGGATATTGGACATGGCTTGATGGTTGGAGAACTGAAAGGGCACACTGACACTATCTATGCACTCAGATTCAGTAGAGATGGGGAGATTTTAGCATCAGGTAAAATTCACTGGAAGCAGTGACGTTTCCATCGTGTTCTCTAAGTCTGAAGCAGGATGATACAATTGGTTCCTTTAATTGAGGAGGACAAAGTAGAATCACTTGCTTAGCAAAAGCAGCAACTTAAAACTGCTGGTACAAAGCGAGTACTTCACTGGCCCATGAAGTATGAGCCCTTGCTCTTCCAGGAACTGAAGGGAAGGTGTTACACAGTGAGACAAAGGTGAAGGCTGATCCTCGTACAGTGTTGGGGTGGAACCTGAAGTTAGAAATAACTCTAGGGCAGACCAGGAGAGGCTGGACTAAAAGAGGTGCAGGATACTGAGATGGGAGTGGGACATGCAGCACGAGTCAAAAGAAGAGAGAGGAAGGGATAGAAAGAAAGGTGTTATTCACACCCTTACCTTCATGGTACATTTTTGCTGTAGCAATGTGTGTGCAATATTAATCAGGTCTGTGAGCAGCAGAACTTGTGAAGCCTGCTCATTTTTCCTGCTTGTCCACATGGATTCTCTGGATTCTAATATGGAAGAGCTCCTTTGCCAGTTTCCCCTTCATGGAGGTACAAAGTTTTGTTTCTCCATGTTTAGTGAACTGTTTTCTTAAAATGTATAGGATTTTAATTTGAAACTTGTTCTCTCAGCTGGTTGAAACTGGCAAACAAGTTCCAAGTTACTGACAGAAAAACTGATGGGCAAATGCTGTAGTTACATCAGGGTAATTTCCTCATGAAACCAGGCTGGGAATAGCCTACATTTATTTAGTAGTACGTTCCTAAATGCAGTGCAGTGTGACTCCTCAGTGAGCCACTGCTGCAGGAGTGAAAGCTGACAGAGCACAGGCTTGATCCAGCCTGCTTAGTGGTTACTTCAGTTGATCTAAAAACGCTCCAGTGAGAGCACAAGCCACTGGACTTGCAAAATTCTGCTGTCTTCCCTGCATCAAAGAAAACTGTTATGTGACTTAAACGTTTCCTCAAATTGGTGCCTAGCCCACAGGATGGTCCTGTTTTTCCAGTGCTGGGTGCTATAATCCAAGCCCAAGTGTTTTGACAGAGTAATTCATTGTGCTTTATCCACAGGGCATTTGGGTTAGAGTACAGGAAAGATGAAATCCTGGGAACTTTTATGTGTGTGTTCAGTTGTGCTAGAGGCTTGATCAAGTTTGTTTCCTTGCAGGATGAGGGTGTAAGTCTACAGTTGTGAACAAACATGTTCTCTGAGCTTTAATTTGTGTTAACTTGCTCTCCAGTAACATTTTATATCCTGTTTTTATTAGTTAAAGACTTGAAACTCTTGTTCTTTTTTCTTTTTAGGTTCAATGGATAACACAGTTCGTCTATGGGATGCTGTGAAGGCATTTGAAGATTTAGAAACCGATGACTTTACTACAGCCACTGGACATATAAACCTGCCTGAAAACTCACAGGACTTGCTGTTGGGTACATACATGACCAAATCGACCCCAGTTGTACATCTCCATTTCACACGCAGAAACTTGCTGCTGGCTGCAGGGGCCTACAGTTCACAGTGAATCGGGACGTGCAGGAGTGACTGGGGCAAGTCATTGCAGTGGTGACTTCAGAATGTGGGACGAGGAGGAATGGCTCGTACAGGTGGATCCCACTAGTCCGTTGCAGGAAACACACAACTATGTAAACTAATGCAAGCAGAGGTTTTTGTTTCTGCTATTTCATATTTATCCACAATTTTGAAAATCTGGGGATTGACAAGACATCATGGCTGTAAAAGAAGGAGTTGTTCATGGTGCTTTTGATAAAAAAAAAATATATGTATATGAAAATGGCTGTCTCCTCTCAGAGATGGTATTGAGCTCTGCTGAAACTTGTGAAAAGTTTACAGGCTTGGTATGTGTTCTCAAATTTTTTTTAAAGCACTTAATTTATGGTTAGCAAATGTCTAATCAGTCTCAAACACAAGCAGAAACTCTATTTGAGAAAAGAAGAATGTAGTTTAATTCACTAGTGCCTGGACTGGGTGACAGGTGTGGTGAGAATATCGCAGCAACAAATGAGGCATAGAGAGTAGCTCCCACAGACAGAGGCTTGTGGGAAATTGCCACAAAGTTACACGTAGGGGTTTTACACATCCAAGTGCTATGTCCTGAAAAAATCTCAAACTCATGTTTAATCAGAACAAAGATTAAAAATGCAGATCTTGTTACTCTGTTTTCACAGGCAGCCAGTGCTGTAAACATGATATGCAATCAGAAGTGCAATGTGAATTTTATTGACTTTATCGTATGGAAAAAAAAGGGCAGAGGGGCAGGCAGGACTAGAGGCACAACTGAAATACCCATTATTTAAAAAGTGGACTTAAACTGTGGTACCTTGTATTAGGTCTAGAAGAACTTTAAAAACCTGAAAACCTGTCTGCTTTCTACGTAATATATAAAAACGTACAACTAGCCTAGACATTGAAACAATATTGCAAAGAAAGAGGCTTGATCAGTCCTCAGTGAGTTTTCAGTTTGCTTCAGTTTCCACCCATGAAAACATTGTACCCCAGTTAAGGGCTCCCTGACAACCCATAAAGGTCAGTGCTTTATTTCAAAGGAAGAGTAAAATGTGCAAGAAACTGGGAAGTGTAACTTCTGTTTGTGTCTTTGAACAGAAAACACCACCACCAAAGCACAGGTCCAGTTTGGCATGGTTTTGGCTTGTTTTATAAAAAAAAGTCTCTTACAAGCTGCATACAGAGAAATCGGTTTTATATTCCTCATTACTTTCCAGTCAGGGCTTGGACACTTGAACAGTCTGCTGGCTCTCTAGTGAAAACAAAAACAAGACTTGACATTTCTAAGGTAAATGAAGAACTACCTCCCTTCTCATCCCTTTTCCAACTCCTAACTGTTGGAGTAAAGGTGTATTACAGGCATTACGCATCAAAATAAGGGGTGGAAGATTCATTAGGAGGCTTGCATGGAAATTTTCTTTAAAGAAAAAACATTAAAACTAAATTATGGATTTTTTCTTTTGTGTAATGGTACCGCAACAAAATTTCCTAGCTCTTAATGTGACCAGTTGGATTTAAGCACAATTATGGTAAATAGAACAAGTCGAAAACAGAGCATGTACAGTTTTGACAGCTTAAAGAAAATACTGCCACATTCTGCTTTTATATTTTGTACAGTTTTATACTTTTGATATTGTAATAAATACTAAACCTACAGAGTTTGTGTCTATGTTACAAAAAGGTATTTTCTTGATGGCTGCAGAAGCAATGCTTGCAACTGCAAGCACTCTGCTAAGAGAAAAAGTAATTCAGAAACACTTAAATGATTACCCATTTCATGTAGCCTAGTTCTAACAGTAGGTGATGGGTTCTAGCAAATTAGAGCTATTACAACAACTGTAATTCATCTGGGAAGTTGTATACAGCAGAGGCCATTTATGCAAATAAACTCACAGGAGAGGCATACACTAGATTTATTCAGAACTTCCAGCTCCAGTATGTACTAATGGCTTTAAGAATGCACAAACTCGAGTGTGAGCACAAAAGCCCTGTAATTGATCTCTCCTTTTTTTTTGCAGCAGCCACACCTACCTCCTGCTGCTCTCAATTTGGGAAGCATCTTTGCATGCTTTAGCATCTGAAGGCCCAGGTTCAACCCCTGCTGCTGGCACTCTTCTGTATAATCACATTCAAAGCAGCAGTAATGTGACATCTGAGGAAGGCAGTGAGTGTTAACTGAGATAAACACAAGCAGTAGTGTATATATACAAGTAATATAGACAAGTTTCAGCATTGGGCAGGGAAGGGGCTGTATCTAACTGTAGTAGGAACACCTAATGTATTAAGAGGCTATATCCAGGAAAAATAAGCTCTGAACTACTAAGTCAATGTTTATGAACATGCAAAGTTCGAAGAGCTTCACATCATCAAAGTTAGCCATTTTGTACCTGGCAGTTACCTCTGCAAGAGAGGCCAGTAACCAAAAAAGATCAAATGCCATCATTTCATCAGTCTGTTTTGGGAGACATTCCATCAAAACCAAATCAGTTCCAGTTCTATGCAAAATAACTGTAATTTGCATTGTATTAATAGTAATGAAGAAGTCACTGTTCCCATGTAAGCTACTAGGTTGGAATGCATAAAATGGGAGCAAATGGGTAACTGGGTCACGTAACCATTGAAGCTGAGTGCTATCCACTGTGACATGGAACTGTGGGGATGCTTGGTTCAGCTGTAAGCTCTGTGCTGGTATTTTCATCATGCTGCTGAGCTCTTTTCTAGTTTACTACCAGGTGCTCAAACACTTCAGGATTTGTTGTAACAGCAGAAGAGTTTAGCTAAGATAGTAATGACAGGAACCAGCTACCCCGTTTTGACTACAAATAGCTGTTTGTTCTTGCGAGACAAAAAAAGAGAAGTGCCACATTTATGCTTTTTTGCACCATTTCATATTTCCAATAAAACATAATTAGTTTGTTTTTATTAGCCACAATGGGTCATCAGCTTGCATTACACCGACACAGACTGGAAGGAAGTTCAGACATGCCAGCAACCTGCTGAGAGAAGAGAGATCAAACATAGCAAGTCTTGCACAGCGGCACGGGAATAACTGAGCATCCCCCTTCCACAAGCCCAAACAACTTTAGTTACGAGCTGGCAAATCTGAGCACACCCAGGAAGAAACGACTGACATCACTTTAACACACAACAACAATGTTCAAGCTTATTGTCTTCTACCCCTTTTCCTATATGGGTCTTGTGTAACCAGGTGTGCAATATATAGCATGCCATAGTATGGTGCTTCTTTACTCTGTTCAAAGCAAGGTTTTAGCAGACTGTACTCATATCTGCTTGGAATTCTCTAACACAGCTAAGAAGTAAGTCCTCAGGTACTACTTTAATTTCAAACACCTACAAAGGAACAGTTATCCCTATTTTACAGCAAAATAGCAGACTAGAGGCACCTAGTAGTTGTAGCTTTGTAGCTTGCTGCACCTAGCTGCAATATCCTTCATCCCTCCTTCCTTGCTTACTCTTCCCTGTGTGCTGTCCCTAGTCCTATTCACTATGTCAGAACAAAAAGAGTACTGGTATCTCATAATTTCTGGATCCCCTTCAACAACTTACTTCATTCAGAATACCCATGAATAAGCTGATGCTATAGGTCAGTTGAGGATTAAAGTGATAATTACGAAGTTCTCATGCCCGTGCTTCACTCTCTCTCTAATTACATTATTAGCAATTCATCCTTTGTCACTCTTTCTTTTTGGGCTGGCACTCAAGGATTTTGGTCCTGGAAGAACACCAACCACTTACCGTTTACTTATCCGCCACGGCAGGAGTTGTCTTTTTAGGTCTAAACTTGAAATACAAGACGAGCAGGGCAATACCCGTGTATGTTGCTATTACATACTGGAAAACATAAAAGTTAAGTTTAGTTTCAGTCTAAACCCCAGAAAACACCATTACAATAGACTACAAAAATTAATATAGGTAATACATACATTCCTCCTGCCTGTGATGGTATAGGCATTGAAGTACTTCTGAAATCCAGTGAACTGGTGTTGAGATCCTGAGTCATGGCCAGCCATGGCTGCTCGTCCTAACCAGCAGTACAGGACAGATAACAAAATTGAAGTCAGTTGGATAGGATCACTAGAGAAGTCAAGCGAATCTCTACACTGAACTTAATAATTCCATTGTCAGCTGTCAAATCTGCTCTCAGGACATCCAACAGAGAGGGGATATACAGAAGAGGCAGACACCTTCGGAGCACTGTGTCTTACGGTACGAAACAGGTGACACAGAGCAGGTAAGCAAATGAGAGGTTCTGAAGGGAAGAACATTTATGATTTTCACAGTTCATTTAACCAAGTTTAAGTGGGGGGAGGGGAAGAAAAAATAGTCAGGATGATGATGATAAAAGCACTTATAAAGAAAGTGTAGGCCAGTCCTGCCTACACAACCATTCAGCACAGGCAAATTTCTACTGATTGTTCAGGAATCTGTAATACCTAATTAGGATAAATCTTCACTAGTTCAGCTAAGAAACAGCTTCAACTGCATACTCAAAACCTTAGTGATAAGATTTAGACTAGACTACTACTCTACTTAATGATTCAAAATACCACTTTACAACTTTTACACCATATTAAATGAGAACTGCTCTGCTCTCAGTGGCATATTTCTATTGCATCTTACTTGCCCACCCTAGTATTCACAGATGTAGATAAAAATATACTTCCTCCCCCCCCAATTATTTCCCAGCTAGATCAGCAAGTTACTTGAGCCACCTACAAAGCCTCAGAAGTCCTTTCACAGGACCAACAAAAACACTTAAGTATGTAAGTGCACATGTATATTTTTGTCTGTCTCAACCAAAGTTTCAGGTCTCCTGTAAGAAGTTAATTCACACAAAGGCCTGGCACGGCTGCAGTAGCATACTTACAGGCTCACTGAACGGTTGAGGTTGGCGCTCTGGAGATGGCACAGTCCAACTCCAACCTGCTCAAAGCAGGGGCAGCTACTTCAGGTCACTTGGGAACATGCTCAGTCAGGTTTTTAGCATCTTCAGAGATGGAAGCTCCACAACTACTCCTGGGAACCTCTCATCACCCTTACAATAATAAGGGTTTTATTTTTAAAGTTTAGAGAACTATTTTTCTAACGATTAAGGGGCTTTTATGCTTAGGACAAATATTTGTTATTTATCTTGTAACTCACCTCAAAAGAGGCACATGCGCCATACAGTTACCTACCAAACGAGGAAGGTGTTGTAGCCACCAGAAGAAGATACAAGAAATTGCTACAGCAGGTGCTATGTTCGTTAACACAGCTCTTATGCCAGCACAATCCACTAACGCACGCCTAACGTATAATCAGGTAAATGTGCCTGTAACTGGACTACATAACATGAACATCTGCCGTACATGACTTAGAAACCCAGGTCATCTTTCCTTATGCCTGACCAATGCAGAAGGCCGGACAGGAGTCACCGCGTCCTTCCCAGAACGGCTCAGAGCCCGGACACCGCAAGTTTTTT